CTCTTCAAGCCGGAGTGTGGAAGAAGTCTCAGGCGGGAGCCTCGTTTGTGAGTGAAGTGCAGGGAAGTTTCAGGCGGGATCCCCCTGTGGGCCCCCAGAATCCTGCTAGTCATCCCAGCGGGTTACCCTCAAACCTGTAATTGCGTTTCTTTTCGGCCCCTGAGGCTTGAATATGGAGGCAGTCTGGAGCGGAAACCTCGTCTGTGAACGAGTTGCGAGGAAGTCTCAGGCGAGAGCTCCTCCCTGTGGGGCCCGCAGATCATGCTGTGAATTCCCGGATAGCTCCCTGGAGAACCAAGAGGGCTTGAGACAAGAAACCGGCAGGCAGGGCTAGCCAGACCCCTCTCCGCCTCTCCAGGTCAGGCAGCGTCGCAGCGCCCTGCTTGAGCTCGCAACCTGTCCCGAGAAGCCTTGTCCTGCTCGCTCCCAATATACGCTTACCGGCAGCCTTCTCGCAGCTCCTTCGGAACTCGTCCAGGGCTTCTGCGAAGCTCCCTCCCTCGAGCTTGCAGCGCAAGCTCCCCAGGCACTCTTTCAAGCGTCCCTGCAGTCGTCTGCTATAGACGCGTCCCGCGCGGCCACGCACGTGCCACGGCTCGCGTGAGCGGCCCCGTGGAGGCCGAGGCGACGGGCGCGCGGCCCCGGGGACGGATACCCGGGGCGACGCGTGCGCGGCCAAAGGGGGGCATGGGGGTGGCCAACCTCCGGGCGTGCGGCCCTGGGGCGCGGGCCTGGGGTGCACGGGGCGGCCCGGGGGCCAAAAGCTCCGGGCAACCCGGGAGCGGGAGCTCCGGGCACGCGGCCCCGGGATGAAGACCCGAGGACGGGGAGGGGGGGGGGAACAGAGGTACAGGGAGAGGGGAAGAGAAGAAGAGAGAAAGGGCAGAAGAGAGAAAGAACAGAAAAACGACCAGAGAAAGAGACGAGGAAAGAGAAAGCAGAAGAAAGAGGGGAAGAGGCGCCGAGAAGGTAGGGAGCAGCAGGAAGAGGAGAAAGCGAGCAGGAGCAGGGAGCAGCCGCCGCCGCTGCCGCCGACGGCTGTGTGTGTGTGTGTGTGTCTTTTTCCTCTTCCGTCCTCTCTTCTCCCGTCGTCGTCGTCGTCGTCGTCGTCGTCGTCGTCCCCTCCTCCCCTTGCTGCCCCTCCCCCTCCCAGATCAGGTGGCGCGAGCGGCTCCCTTCTTACGACCGTGCGGCATGGCCCTTAGCCTCCAGTAGGGTTGTCAAATGTTGGTGCTGCGAGCGAATTCGACTCTCTCCCGTACTTCTCGTCCCTCGCTTCTCCAGTCCTCGTCGTCGTCCGCTCCTCCCCTTGCCGCCCCCACCCCTCCCGGATCAGGTGCCGCGTGCGGCTCCCTGCTCACGGCGGCTTGGCCCATTGCCTGTCGTAGGACAAGTTAGAGTCTGGTACTGCGAGCGCACTATTCTCTCTCTCTCTCTCTCCCGTTCTCCTCGTCCCTCTCTTCTCCCGTCGTCGTCGTCGTCGTCGTCGTGCCCTTCTCGTCGTTCCCCTCTCCCCTCCTGGGCTCCTTCCTGAAGAGCGGCTTCGCCGGATGGCCCGCCTTGGCCGCCCTGTGGCCCCCCCCTTCTCCCCCCTGCCTTTGTGTTGTGCCTCCTTCCTCTCTTTTGTCTCCCTCCTTGGCTGGCTCCTTTCCCTCTCCATGGCTTGCCTTGCTCTTGTGGCGTGCGGTGTCTCATCCCTTCCCCTCGGCTCCCCCTCTCCTCCGTCGGTCGGCCCGTTTCCTTCGCGTCCGTCCGCCTCCGCCGTCGGCTGTCCGTTGTCGCTCCTCGCTCCTCGCGTCTCCCCCGCTTTGCTTGGCCCTCCTTGCCCTTGTCTTGCTGGCCCCTTGTCGTCCGAAATCGAGCCGCCCTGGCCGCTGCATGCTGCTGCATGCTGCTGCCCGCTGCCCCCGCGCACCGGCGCCGCTCCCGGCCACCGCCCAGTGCGGGGCCCGCCGTCTCGCCGTCAATCGCTTCTCCTTCTTTCCCTGTCTTCCGTCCGCTGCGCGCCCCACGAGGGGCGCCCAACGCGCTGGCGAGCCGCCGCACCGCGGCGACCGAAAAGTGTGTGCGTGTGTTTCGATGGTGCCCATCCCTGCGCAGCGGCTGTGGCTCTCGCGGTCTCGGGGCCGCGCCGCCGGCGCTCCCCACGCTGGACCCACTCGCGCTGTTCCCCGCGAGCCAGCCGCCGCCCCTCCTGCAGCGCTGGCTGGGCCCACCCCTCCGCCGCGGGCGGTGAGAGCCAGGCGGCGCCCTGCCCTCAATGGGCCTACGCATCTGGCCTTGCCCACGCGGGCCCGAGGCCACTCCACGGGCCCCGTGCCTCCGCCTGGCTCGCCTCCACGCCCTGCTGTCGCCCCCCCCCGCCACCAAATCTTCCAAGGCCTCGCCCCTGGCTCGCCCACGCCACGCCCTCGGCGGACGGCGTCTCCGCCCTCGTCAGGCCACGTACCGAAACGACCGCATGCGACATCGCCCCTGCTGTCGCCGACACGCCGGAGGCCGAGAGTGAGCGACGAGCTCTGGTGCAGCGCGCGACTGGCATCCGCACTCGCGGGGCGCCCTGTCAGCACCAGGCCAGCGATGCCTGGCGCGCGTGGGTCTAGCTCCGTGGCCCTGTGCTGCTCGGAGGCACGCGCGCCAACCCTGACTTTCACACCGCCCCTCAGCTCAGGGAGCTCCTGGACTCCATCCCTAACCACCACCATGCCGGCAACGCTCCACCGCCGCTGGACGTTGGGAGGCTCAAGAAGCGACTGTCCTCCAGAGACCTGTCAAGCCCAGCCCGCGCTCAGCCGAGGCCACCTCCCTGAGATCCCGCCCGCGCTGCCCGCCTGTCCACCCCGACCGTAGTGTCAGCCCGCCCCGCCTCTCCCCACGTGGCGCCCGCTGTGGCCGGGGCTCTGGGGCGCGCCGCACTTGCCACCCTCGCGTGGCCCCGCGCAACTGCCTTCGCCCCCACCACCCACGTTTTGATGCGCCACCCAATCGACTGCGCCCCAGGGGGGGAACCGTACAGCGCCGGCACTTGTCGTACGCCTGACCGGGCTCGAGGCATTTCCCTGCCTACTGGAGGGACTCCTGGCTGTCCCCCTTACCCTCGGGCGCTATGGTGACCCCCCTCGTGCGCGGCCACGCCAGCGCACCGTCTGTGATGCGTCGGCGCTCCTCAGCCAGGCCCCGGGGCGTCGCGGCGCTCCCGCGCCGCGCAAGCCTCGACTGGTCCCTCCTCGCGCCTGCCCGCTTTCGGTGCCCTCCTCCCCTCTGCCGCCCGCGCGTGGCCGCCCGCCTCGCGGTGCCAGCCGTGCCCCGGGTGGAGAGGAGCGCCGCACCTGCCTCCCTTGCGGGGCCCCGCGCAGCCGTCCCCGCTTCTCCACCGCCTGCGCCTCTCCTCGCCTCCCTGTCAGCCGCCGTTCCTTGGTCGGCTGCGCGAGCCGTGCCCTCTCTGCCCCGGAGGCTTCACTTGTCCTCTGGCCGGCCTCGTCTGCCACGCCTCGCTGCCACTGACTCGTCCCTGTGTCTGCTCTTCCCAGGGCCCTTGTCTGCCTGCCTCCTCGCCTTCCCCGCCCCGGCGTTGCGGGCTGTCACCGCCTCCCATCCTTGTCGATTGCGCTGCGCACTGCTCTGGTACTCGTCTCCACGCTCTCCCCGTCGCCGCTGCGCGCCTGGCAGCGACGCCAAAACGTGTGTGTGTGTGTGTGTGTGTGTGTGTGTGTGTGTGTGTGTGTGTGTATGTGCGTGCGTGCGTGTGTGTGTGTGTGTGTGTGTGTGTGTGTGTGCGTGTGTGTGTGTGTGTGTGTGTGTGTGTGTGTGTGTGTGGGTGTGTGTGTGTGTGTGTGTGTGTGTGTGTGCGTGTGTGTGTGTATCTATGTGTATCTGTGTGTGTGTGTGTCTGTCTGTGTCAGTGTGTGTTCCTTTTTTGCTGGCGCGCGAGCGCCTGCGGGACTAACGAGCGGCCAGTGGCCAGGCCCAGCCTGCGACTACAAAAACAAGTGTGTGTGTGTGTGTTTTACTCCGCCTCGTCGCCGCGTGCGAGGCCGCTACCGCTCAAAAGAGTGTGTGTGTGTGTGTTCGTGTGTGTGTGTGTGTGTCTCTCTCTCGCTCTCTCTCTCTCTCTCTCTATCTTTCTTTCTCTCTGTCTCTCCCTCGGTATCCCTCGCAACTTCTCTCCTTTTCCTTCCTCGCCCTCTACAACTTCTCCATCTGACTAATAACTACTCTCATCCCTCCCCGGACCCTGTCCGAGCTGGGCCAGTGTCGTGTTCTTCCGGTATATTGTTTTCTAAGTTTGAAACTGTGATCTTTAAAATGATTTGTAAAATCGGAGTGTTCCCGGTGCTTCAACATGGTGCTCCAGCTGTAGCGGTGGCTTTGCTTCAGGATCGACGTCTTGCTCCCGTCGTTCGAAGAGGCGCTCTCGCCCCAGCGCGGGCACAATTTTGGATCCGAGTTATTCATCGGCGTTGTCGCCCCCGCTCCTTTTCCCCTCCTCCGTCTTCCACTGGTCCTGCTGCTCCTCCCGCCCCTCCTTGGTCTGCAGGCTCCTCTACCAACCCTGTACGCTCCTGGCAGTAGTCCCCTGGATGGGACTCTTTCGTGGACACTCCGTAGTCCGTAGTCCCGCTCCTCCTACTTCCGCATCTTCTTCCTCCTGCTCTTGCTCATCCGCCACTTCCTGCTCATCCTCCTCCAGTGTACCCAGCTCCTCTTCTCTGACGTGATGGAGTCCTTTTGAAGGTTTCATGTCCGCTATGACACCCGTCGGCGGATAGAGACAAAATCAGCGCAATGGGAAGAGGTGTGTGGGAGGGTTAGGAGGTCAGATATGGCGCGAGCACGCCTGGCTTGCCCTCTGCCCCGCTCCCTCCTCCTACTCCCCTGAATCTATCTCTCGCTCGCTCGCTCCTTTTCTCCACACTCCCCTCTCCCTCTCCGTGCACCTCTGCTTTCCTCGGCTTCACCCCCGAATCTCCCCCCTGTGCTTGCACTCGCTCGCAAGGGGCCTTGAAGTAGGGATGGCAGCCGGTTGCGCCCAAGCCGTTCAGGCCGTTCACAAAGGATGGGGAGTCTAATCCGCTGGTCCACCCCCGCGGGGACCGAATGATGATGAGAAAGAAGACGGGCATAATGGAAAAACCAAACGAAGCATACAAAGGTGTAGCAATTCGTCGAAGAATGCGGCAGAGGCAGCGGTGACGCTGGGGTGGTGTTGGTGGTGGGGGTGTGATCGCAGTGATAGTATAGTGCTCGTCACGGAAGATGGGCCGACAATGGGCGCCGATGGCGGGGAGGAGGAGGATCAATGATGCGATGTGCACAAATGTATGTCTGCCTGCCTGTCTGCCTGTCTGTCTGTCTGTCCGTCCGTCCGTCCGTATGTATGTATGTATGCATGTGTGTATATGTATGTATGTATATATGCATGCATGCATGCATGCATGCATGCATGCATGTATGAGTGTATGTGTATGCATGCATGCATGCATGCATGCATATATTTATGTATGTATGTGTGTATGTATGTAGATATGTATGTATGTATGTATGTATGTATGTGTGTATGTATGTATATATGTATGTACGGATGTATGTATGTATGTACGTATGTATGTATGTAGGTATGCGTATATCGGTATGCATTTATGCATGTATGCAGATACGCATGCATGCATTTGTGTATGTATGTATGCATGTATGTATGTACGCATGTATGTATGCATATACGTATGTAGGCGCACACATATCGGTGTATATGTATGAATGTACGCATGCATGCATGCGTGCGTGCATGCATGCGTGTAGGTATGTGTGCATGTATGTATGCATGCAAGCATGGCTGTAAGTATGTAGGTGTGTGTGTGCGTATGTGTGTATGTGTATGTATGTGTGTATGTATGTATGCGTACATGCATGTATGTATGCATGCATGCATGCATGCATGCATGTATGCATGTATGTATGTATGTATGTATGTATGTATGTATGTATGTATGTATGTATGCATGTGTGTATTTATGTATGTATGTATGTCTGTATATATGTATGTATGTATGTATGTATGTATGTATGTATGTATGTATGGATGTATGGGTGTGTGTATGCATGTATGTATGTATGTATGTATGTATGTATGTATGTATGTATGTATGTATGCATGTATGTATGTATGCGTGCGTGCGTGCGTGCGTGCGTGCGTGCGTGCGTGCGTGCGTGCATGCATGCATGCATGCATGCATGCATGCATGTACACACACACATCTATATATATATATATATATATATGTATATGCATGTATGCATGCATGCATGCATGTATGCATGCATGTACACATACATGTATCCGTCATCGCGCCCTGACGCACGAATCGGAGTGTCCTCAAGTCCCGTCGAACCCTCAACATTACGTATTGTACATGTGCTCAAAATAGCCCACAACTAAGAATTCTGGTTGCTCCCGGGCGCTCCTGGGGGTTCTCCGCGAGACTTGCCCAGAGGCCAAGAGAACATTGTTCGGGACATGCATGTCCAACATGGCCTAACATGGCCCCGGGGACCGTCGTGAACCCTCTTGGGCGCCTCCTGAGCCGTCTTGGAGGTCCAGGAGGGCAGCCCAAGAGTCTAAAATTCATTTAATTTTGATGGTTGTAGCCTTATCCTCATTTTAAAGCCTTCAGGGCGTCCACTACGGCCCTAGAGGCGGTCAAGATCGCCCAACAAACGAACAAACACGTCCAAAAAGGGGCCCAATAGGCCCTCGAGACAGCCCCAACAGGGGCCCAAGAGGGATAACACGAACAGACATTTTGAGCCCTCCGCCCCAAGATGGCCCCACATTCCCCGTAGAGGCCCCCGAGGTTTCCCCAAGAGGCCCGAATCATGCCCCAAGAGGCCCCCATGACGCCCCCAGACACTCCCAAAATTGCCTCCAATAGACGCCTCCGAGAGGTCCCCTAATAGATCGTCGCAGGCATCCAAGGGGACTCTGACCGACGACCTAGGCACCGTGGCGGGATTGGCCGAATGCCACTCGATCCGCCCTGGCAGAACTTTGATTCTTTTCGAACTCTCCATGGGGCCTGGGCCCAGCCCACTGGCCACCTGGAAAACGCCGTGGTCATCGGCTTTCGGATTCTGGATGGCCTCCAAGACGGCCAAGATGACCCCCAATATGGTCCCAAGACGCCGCCAAGACGGGCAAGATGGCCCCAGAACAATCGAAGCTGACGCCAATCTGTCTTCAAAACGGCCCAACATGCACCCTACATGGCATCACCATGGCCCAAAACGAAATGAAAAAGGCCCCAAGAGGCCTCCAAGGCGGCCCACAACGCATCCAAGCAGATCCAAAAGAAGGCCCGCATCAACCATACACTATTTCTTAAGGTTCTTGGCGGATTTTGGCTTTTGCTCCGTTTCGGGCTTCCGACGGCCCAAGACGGCCCCAGAGGCCATCAAGATCGCCCCAAGAGCGCCCACGAGGCCTCCAATTTGGCCCCAGGACGGCCCAAGAGGCCCCCGAAACGGCCCCAAGAGGGCCCAATGACTGCCCAAGAGGTTTCCAAAACGCCCAAGATGGCCTCCAAGACGACCAATATGGCCCCAAGAGAACCCAAACTGGTCGCAAACTGTCCCCAAGACGGCGCAAGATGCACCCACGACGGCTTCAACTGGCCCAAGAGGCACAGTACGCCCCCAAGAGGCCTCCAAGGCTGCCCAAAAGGTCTCCAAAAAGACATCCAGGAAGGCCCGAAGAGGTCAGCACCTTGTATTTCCTTAGGGGAGAGGTTTTTGGTTTACCCCCTTTTCGCATTCCGACGGCCCAAGACGGGCCAAGAGGCCACCAAAAAGGCCATAAGAGCGCTGAAGAGACCTCCGAGCTGGATACATGACAGCCCAAGAGGCCCACAAGACGGCCCCCAAGGGGCTCCAAGGCGGCCTCACATGGCCGCCAAGACGGCCAAGGTAGCCTCCAAAGCGGCCGGACTGGCCCAAGAAAGCCAAATATGGCCGCAATATACCTCAAAGACGGCCTAAAATGCACCCAAGACGACCAAATATGACCTCAGCATGTCCCAAAAGGCCACCCAGAAGCTTCGATGATAGCCAGCGAGGTCTCCAAGAAGCCCCCCAGAACCGCCCGAAGGAGTGGGATCTGGCTCGTGGGCGCCAGGTCCACGGCTCGGGGAAAGTGCACCCTGGAAGCATGAAGCCAGTGCCGCCTGTTTTGGCGACGGAACGCGCCGATCCTGTCTGGAAGCGGGACCCGTTGCTAATCCACGCGCCTCGGTCCACGTTTGCGCCACCTCCTCCTGTCCTTCCCCCGCCTCCCCCTGGAAGCGCTGGCTGGAGAGGCGTCGACCCGTTGGGACACTCTGACGCAGTTCAGCTGCAGCGTCTGCATGGGGGCGGCCGCCTGGGATCGGGTCGCGTGCGCACTGTCTTTTTTGTTGAGAAGCAGCGTACCTCACACGTCATGCCGAACGAGTGGACATCAGACGCAAGGCCTGCGTGCTTGCAGTACAGCTGCAACAGAAAAGCAAGGTAGGCAAGGTGTAACTGTGCATTGAGCAAGCATACAGCTGGCGTGCAGCATACCAAATGGTTTGCGCCTGCTTCGTAACACATGCATATTGCCATTATTGCCTGCAGCTGGCAAACGGAAATCGTCATCTTGCAAAACGGCCACCGTCAACATTGCATTGCGATTGAAAACTCGAAAGACCTTGCATCAATCACCGACGTCCCTAGGCACGAGATGCCACTGCGGCTCGGTGAGGTCGCATGATCGCCACCTGGGGCCTACCACCCGTTAGCGCTCGCAGGGCCGATTCTACCTTGCATCCCCGCGCTGGCCAGACAGGGGCGCGTCAGCGGCGCGTCAAGAGAGCAGCTTCACCGCGCCAAGCAAGTTACTCTGTTGGGCATCGTGCCCCAGCGACCCCTTGACGAGCTCCTTGATCCTCTCATGTTGACGACAGATGAGTTCCCGCCGATTGACCACGTCCGTGACGCTGGCAGGCTTACCCTTGCGGAGGCGCAAGAGGACCTCATACAAATCGCGGGTGCTTAGTCGGCAGTTCTCTCGCGGGAACAAGAAGTGTTCCATAGACTCAAGCCCCTCGATGTCTGTACCAGGGGCCTTCAACACGTCGAGCACGTCCAAGTTCTCCAGGATCAGGTGGAAGTCGTTCCTGTTCAGATTCTCCCCGTCCAAGTGTAGCTGTCCTGAAGCACTGCCCTCTGGCCAGGTCCCAGGCGGCTCGTCGAGGTAGCACTCCAGGATGGAAGCCAGGTTTCTCTCGATGTATGACGTCTCCCAATGTCTAGCCTGCTCGGTGGCGGCGTCTGCGATTGCGCTGGAGAACACACCACTGAACAAATTCAAGAAGCAATACTGACCAACAATGATCAACATAATCATTCCGTAAGTAGCTGACGAAATCGTCGCTGCAATCCACCAAGTAGTCCAGCACTCCGTCGAAGAAGAGGCCCTGCACAAGAAGCGTCTGAAATGTGTCCGTCATGGTCGGGAAGCACAACTCCATGACGTCTGAGTGCCTGACGCCTGTCCTTAACAGCACAGCGAAGCCAAATCCCGCGCCGACCATCATCAGAATGATGATCGCGGCTTGTTCCAATCCAGACACGATGGCATTGCCAAGCCCCGAGGCCTGCGGGACGATCCGAAAGAGTCGCTCCACCCGCAGACATGCGCCCGGTCGAAAGAATAGGCCCAGCCAGAGCCACAACGTGTCCGGATCCACGTCCGACTGGGCGCTGCGAGAACGGATCGAGTAGATCATCGGGAACGACAACGCGTCAATCAATGTCGCCAACAAGGCCCACGCGTCGCGTCAGAACCAGCTGGAATAGAGCGCGTATGTCGCTTCTTTGTATGCCAAACAGTCGGACCATCAAGTCTACCATGAAGAAACCAATCAACGATATCTCGGTGATGAACGTTCCCGTTGGGCACCAGAACGCTCGCTTACCAGGATAGTACTCTGACATTCATCAGAAAATCCATAATTAGGACGTTGGTGGCGGTCACATGGTGGAAGGTGAAAAACCTCCAACAAAGGCTTTGCAACACACGTCCACACCAAAATCCAATCTGCTCCCGCCTGGCATGGATGTTCAATAATGGTCTGGTTGCGAGGTGGCTTTTCTTAAACATCTGAGACTCGCGCATCATCGCATTTCCCATAACTGGCTGCTCCGTGTCCTTCAGATCCTTCCTCGGACTCATCTACCTCTTCCAGTATTCGCTGGAGGTCTCCCAGCGCATCTTTTCCAAACCGTGTTGACGTTCCGCGTGGTCCACCTACCTGAAGAGGCTCTCGCCGCCGACGCGCCTTACGCTTCAGGAGTTGCCCGTGATCGGGCATAGCTGGACCATGCCCGCGAAAAGGACTTCCATGGGCGTCGTCCGCGTCTTCCCCGACCTCAGCCGCACCTTGGGCTCGCCGCCGCGCCAGGCGCTCTCGATGCGACCGCTGGCGGCCTCGTCGGAGCACCGGTATCCGCTCTTGGGCAACCGCTGCCACACGGAGCTCTCCGCGTCCGGAACCTCCAGGCTGCCCAAGCTCGTTCCCGCCCTCGGCTCCGACGCCGCGTTCGACATCCGGCGCTCGACCTCAACCTGGCCATGGCGCTGGGCGGCGGCGGAGCACCGTCGGCGGCCTCGACGCCGTCCCTGGAGATGGGCGGGCTTGGCGGTGCCGGCGGCCCAGGAAAGCCGACTGGGCTGGGCGCTTCCGGGGGGCCGACGGACCCCCGCAGCGACGGCTCGGCGGTGCCGAACACTACCAGGGATGGCTGCAGACTGCCCACCGCCGGCTGCGGAGCGGCGCCGCTCAGCGCCTCCTTCGCCGGCGCTGTCTGCGGCGGCGCGGCGGCCGCGCGCAGCACCGCAGGGCCCAGCGCTGTCGCCGCATCTTCCTCCTCCGCGCCGAGGCCAAGCGCGGCGAGCCCCGCCGCGGCGTGGCAGGAATGCACCCGACCCAGGCAGGTGTCAGCATTGGTGGTGCCCTGTAAGGCCTGCTGGCCTCTCGGGCGTCTTCCTGCTGGTCCTTCGCTTTCTGGGCGGCCTTGGGGCCGTTGGGTCCTGGGGCCCCTTCCCTCTGGCTGGCGCCTGCGTAAGGCTTTTGTTTGGGGCGGAGCCGAAGTGCTTCGTGGGTCCTGTGTTTAAGGCCTTCCTCGGGGGCTGTCGTGGCTCCCTGGGTATCTCGGGGTGGAATGCTCTGTCGTGCACCCTTTGCGGGACCTCAGTGGTCCCGTGGGGCAGGCCCGTGTGGCTTGCGGTGACGTACATGCTGTCACGGGTCTTGGCTCTCGAGCTCGGGCCAGGGAAGTCCGCTGACTGGGTACACACACAAGCACAAGCACAAACACAAACACAGACGCGCAGAGACACAGACACACAGCCATCAACACAAACACAAACACAGGCACACACAGAGAAACAGAGACACAGACACACAATCACAGAAACGCACAGACGCACAGGCGCACAGACGCACAGACGCACAGACGCACCGATGCACCGACGCACAAGACGCACAAACGCACAGACGCACAGACGCACATACGCACATATGCACACACGCAAAGGCGAACAGGCGCACAGACGACGCACAGACGACGCACAGACGACGCACAGACGCACAGACCCACAGAAACACAGAAGCACAGACGCACAGACGCACAGACGCACAGACGCACAAACGCACAGACGCACAGACGCACAAAGGCACATACATTCGAACGCCCACCCGCCTACCCGCCCACACGCCCCAAAAGCCCACATGCCCAAGCACCCCCCGCCCCCCCGAATGATGATGATGATGATGATGATGATGATGATGATGATGATGATGATGATGATGATGATGATGATGATGATGATGATGATGATGATGATGCTGATGCTGATGCTGATGCTGATGCTGATGCTGCTGCTGCTGATGATGATGATGATGATGATGATGATGATGATGATGATGATGATGATGATCATGATGATGATGCTGATGATGATGAGGAGGAGGAGGGAGGAGGAGGAGGAGGAGGGAGGAGGGAGGAGGAGGAGGAGGAGGAGGAGGAGGAGGAGGAGGAGGAGGAGGAGGAGGAGGAGGAGGAGGAAGAGGAGGAGGAGGAGGAGGAGGAGGAGGAGGAGGAGGAGGAGGAGGAGAAGGAGCCGTCCTCGACGTGGTCCTGGCGCATCCGGGCGGGCGCGTGTGCCATCGCCGCTGTGGGCGCGACCGCGCGCCGGCGCGCCCGCGTCGCCGGCGCAGCGGCCCGGGAGCGGGAGCAGGAGAAGCAATCCCGCTACCCCGGCCCTGGCCTGATGGCCGCGGTGGTGGAGAGCAGCGGCCGCCTGGGGCGTGAGTTCGACTCGTTCCTGCGCGAGCACGCCCCAGTGGACCCCGAGTCCAGGGCCGATGCCCTCGCCGACGCGAGGCAGCGCGTGGTCGTGGCCGTCGCGCGTGGCACTGCAGCGATGCTGCTCAGCAGCGCCGGGGCGCGTGCGAGGCCCTGGCCGTCCCCTGCCCAAGGGCTGGGCCGCGGCCGGGCCCGCCAATGAGCTGAGCCTCGCCTGCCCCCCCCCTTCCGCTCCTCTTCCGCCTCTTTCTCCGTCCCCTCAGGCAGTGTTAATTAACTAACTCCTCCCCCCGCGCCCCCTCCTCTGCTCTCTGCGCTGCTTGCCTGCTCCCCCTCCTCCTCGTCCTGTGTCCCTCGTCCCTCCCTTCTCGTGCTCTCTTGTTTCTCCTGGCTCCGTGGCCTCCCTCGCTCCTCTCGCCCGTCCCCGTCCTCCTTTGGTCCGTCCCTCGTCCCCAGCTGCTTGCTGGGGGGCGCAGTGTTTAATTAATTGGGGGTGTGACTTTGAAACTCCGTAGGGTGTCGCGGAGATTGTCCGGAGTGGCGCCAGGCCGCGCTGGCCCGCTTGCCCGGCAAGGTCGGCGGGTCCAGCGCCAACGCCAGACGGCCTGCATCAGCAGCCGGGCAAGGGCACTGTGTATCGGACATGCAGTCTCGCCCCCTGCTTCTGCCTGCTGGCCCGCCTCTGTCCTCTCCTGTCTTGGCAGCCAGGAGGAAGAGGAGGAGGAGGAGGAGGAGGAGGAGGAGGAGGAGGAGGAGGAGGAGGAGGAGGAGGAGGAGGAGGAGGAGGAGGAGGAGGAGGAGGAGGAGGAGGAGGAGGAGGAGGAGGAGGAGGAGGAGGAGGAGGAGGAGGAAAGAGGAGGAGGAGGAGGAGGAGGAGGAGGAGGAGGAGGAGGAGAGTAGGAGGAGGAGGAGGAGGATGGGGAGGAGAAGGAGCGCAAGGAGGCAGGAGGAGGGAGGAGGAGGAGGAGGAGGAGGAGGAGGAGGCGGAGGAGGAGGAGGAGGAGGAGAGGAGGAGGGGGAGAGGAGGAGGAAGAGGAGGAGGAGTGTAGAGGAGGATGAGGAGGGAGAGAGGAGGAGGAGGAGGAGGAGGAGGAGGAGGAGAGGAGGAGGAGGAGGAGGAGGAGGAGAGGAGGAGGAGGAGGAGGAGGAGGAGGAGGAGGAGCGAGGAGGAGAGGAGGAGGAGGAGGGAGAGGAGGCAGGGAGGAGGAGGGTGGGGAGGAGGAGGATGGGGAGGAGGAGGAGAGGAGGAGGAGGAGGAGGAGGAGGAGGAGGAGGAGGTAGGAGGAGGAGGAGGAGGCGGGAGGAGGAGGAGGAGGAGGAGGAGGAGGAGGAGGAGGAGGAGGAGGAGAGGGGAGTAGGAGGAGGAGGAGGAGGAGGAGGAGGAGAGGAGGAGGAGGAGGAGAGAAGGAGGAGAAGGAGGAGGAGGAGGGAGGAGGGAGGAGGGAGGAGGAGGGGGAGGAGGGAGGAGGAGGAGGAGGAGGGAGGAGGAGGAGGAGGAGGAGGAGGAGGAGGAGGAGGAGGAGGAGGAGGAGGAGAAGGAGGAGGAGGAGGAGGAGGAGGAGGAGGAGGGAGGAGGCGGGAGGAGGAGGAAGAGGAGGGGATCGGGGGGCCCTGTTATCGGCCATCGGCTACGCTTCTGCACTTGGGGCAGCAAGCTGCCATCGCTTGGGCGGCGATGATGTGATCGAAGGCGATTTGGCCGCAATGCCGCGCAGACTTGTATGCGCGCGGGGAAGTCGCGATGCGGTAGGAGCTCGACCACAAAAAACCTTCCACAAGAAACCCAACCCTGAGACCCCAGGACGTCCATAGATCCTTGGCGTGGGAACGTGACGCTTTCCATCGCAAAACATCTGAAACCCGAGAAACCCAGGGCACCATGGACGCCAACGAAGTGTTTCTTAGTATGGGTTTCTGTTGCATCCGGAATCATCCTTCGCCAGAAGACACTGGGTGGGCTCTTGTGGCCACCCCGCAGCTCTCCCTAATGCGAAGGAGATGATAAGGTTTGCAACGAATTGCGACAACACTGCGCGAGGGCGGACCGCCGTTGCGCGGCCGCCCGTGTCTGTCCCCTCCTCATCGTCCTTGCCCCCCCCCTACCCAAGCCCAACCCCGTCCTCCTGATCAGCAGCTCCTCGCAGGCCCGCGCTGTGCAGCTGCTACCCGAATTCTGCGGCGGGGCTTGCAGCGGCGGGATTGGCAACGGCAATATTGGCCCAGGCAGCGGTGGCCTGCGCCGTCAAGCCAGTCCCAACTACAAACATCACGCTTCGGAATTTGGAGCCTCGCGAAGGACGCCTTGGAGTTCTTGGAGACGGCCGGGGTGTCCGCGCTGGATGCGCCCCGAAATGGCCAACCAATGCTGGGCCGCCTCGCCCCCCGAGCAAACTGAAATGAAGGGCCTTCTCGGAAAACCTGGGGTCACGCTGGGCCACGAACACCTCGTAACCTCTTACAGACGGCGGTGGGCGGCCACCCGAGTGTACGGTTCGCGGACAAGCGGTCGTCTCCGTGGCGGCATATTTGTCGGCTCGACGCGCGCAGCTCGAAGCCGAGCGAATTCCGGCGCTGCTGGGAGCGAAATCCCAGGGCAAACGAATTCCACGCATACCTACACTGAGTACTTCGCTGTCTAGCATACGCGCTGCGATCTACGGAAGAAGGCCTCCCATCTACGGAAGAACTCGCAAACGGCGCGCTATGCAGGGAATCGCGGGGGGACCATGCCACAGAACGAGGCCTTGCGAAAATGATAAAGCCTGAGGAACGCATTTGAGCTGAGAAACTGGGGGCAGCGTAGTTGATGGCGAATGGGCTGCGCGGCGTGCCCATCGCGTAAGCGAAACCGCCGCGCCTCCGCCGCCTCTTCAACGGCGACTTCCACTCCGGGCCCCCTTCCTCTGACACTCGCGCGAAGTCGCGCTGGCGCGCCAATCTGATGATCGCCGGCGGAATATTTACCAAGAGCGAAGATGCCGCCCCGACCGCCATGAGCCGCCCCAACTTCTGCCGCGCGCAGTCGTCATCCTTGCACCCCGCGCGGCACTCTGGCCTGGGGCGCTCCCCGAGAGCACCCCCCGTGGCCGCGGAGAAGACCGCGGCGGTCATCGCCGCCCCCAGCAGCTCGTAGCCGAGAAGAAGAGCCCTCATATACCTCCCCATGCTAATGCTCCGCGCGAACACCAGAGTGGCAGGGCAACGGATAAGAAAGTGAGCGCCGGGCCGTGTGGCACCGCGTGCGACGCGGCTGCAGCGCGCTCTCTCGGTTCGCCCGCGCCATGCAAAATGTCACGGCGCCGCTTGGCCGCCCCCTCGCCCGTCTCGGCCATGCTGGCGAGGGTTCGCAGCGCGCCCCCCTTGTTGTCGAGCTCGCCTGGCGCCGGCACCTTCGGCCCCCTTCTCGACCTCTGGGTTCGGCAGGAAGTTCAGGTCGTCGCCGTGCATCAGCAGCGAGGCGCTCGCGCGCTGCTTCGCGATCCTGGCGGCCACCGTTTCGCCGATGTCGGCGAGTTTGGCGCTCCCACTGAGGAGGTCCCGCGCGAAGGACACGAACGCATCCGCCGCTTCTTGGGCCCTCGAAGCGTTTGATGGCGCGGGCGCAGACTTTCACGAAGATGTTTGTTGCGTGGCTTCGCAAGATTGCTCTGAACCGTCGTTGCGTGCGTCAGCCGCCGCTGGTGCTTGCGTCGCAGCAGACGTGGCAGTTTCATGTGAACCTGCACTCTTCGTGCTCGTAGTTCGTACTCTCGTAGTGCAACGTTGGCGCGATGCGCGCGTGACTGATGCGTCGGCGCCGAGAGGCATCTCCGAATGCGCGGCCGCAATGGCGCGGCCAGTGACGACCAGCGCCAGTGGTTCGTCATCGACGACTTCCCTCGTCACGAAATCGGGGACAACAAACTCTTTCGCCCCCGTCGCAACCCGTCCTATCATCCCCGGCGCCGCGCGCATGCGCAGTCACCAGCATGGCGAAGTATACGGCCATCATCTCCCGCATTACTGCCGAGCCCAAAGCGCCCGACCAGTCCCCTCGCCACAGCTCCTCATAGGACCCCGCCCGCAGCAGGGGGACCTGGCTGCGCTCGAGCTCGCTGATGAGGCCCTTCAGTCTGTCAACGAAAAGGCGAGGTGCGTGGTCGCGCGCGGGGGCGCGCCATCCGCGCCGAGCGGTGCGGCGGCGAACCCTTTGGAGGTCCGATCCGCGGCGCCCGCGTCGAAGTAGCCGCGCGCGAGGCCGCTGTTCACGTTCGGCAAGTCGATCAAGATCGGATTGGCGAGGCATGTCGCCCTCAGGGTCGAATCGTCGACGTCTGATTTCAAGCCGAAGCTGATCGCGCCCTCTGCGCCGCTGACTCCTGAGGACGCGGCGGAGGCAGGTGCATCTGCAACCGCTGCCAACGCGCTCTCCGCCCGAAGGGCACCGAATAGGGAGGAGGGAAGACAGGCGCCCGCGCCGGTCGCATTGCCCACGCGTGGCAGGGAGAGGAAGCCGTCGACGACATCATCCACATCTACCTTGGAAACCGCAGCCTCAATTCCGTCGACCGCCACCTGTAAACTGGACTGGCTCGTTGAAACAAATTGCATGGCTGCCGCGTCCTCCGCTTTCGCGGTGTCCGCTAACGTTGCCAACTCAAAATATCCGACCGCGGCCGCGAAACCTCCGTCGCTGTGCTCGTAAGAGAAAAGGTGGGTGAAGTCGGTGCAGCGATAGTCGCCGTGCGCGGGAGAATCGCGAAGGCGTCCGTCGAGATGGTCAGCGAAGTGATTGCGGGAGGCGAAGTCGTCGACGATGCTGTGATGGTGGTGCTGTGCGGGGGCGTCGTGGAGGTCGCCGTGGCGGTGGGTGCGCTGGCTTCGGTGCTGTTGTCCATCGCGTCCTCCGCGGTGACGGCCCATGCCGTGGTGCCGCTGGTCGGTGTAGTGGTGGTCACCTGCTATGGCGAGACTGGAGCTGAAGTCGATGTCTGGCACTCCCATTCGAAGCGGTACCACCCGCCTGCGAATCGGCACGAACACCAATATCATCGTGGAGAGTGCCATGATTATTGCCTGACGACCCACCATCGGGTAAATACCAGAAAACACCGCTTCCAGACGTAATCTCCAGTCTATCATGGCATTGCCTCATCGCGTGCCGCTGAACCGTTCCGCATCCCAGCTCCGCCACACAGTTGAAATTGAAGTACCTACCGGTGGCGTGTGTACTGTGTTCGATGCCTTGTCTGCGCTGAGCGACATAATAGCCGTCGCGGTGGTGGTCCGTGTCGCGGTGGTCAGAACGGCGCCGCCAGCCCACTGCGAAAAACCAGCTGGGATTGCGTTGCGCGAGGCTTGAGGCAGCGTAACTGTGATGGGGTTCGTGAGCGATATGCGGTCGCACGTGCACATGCATGCGTCGCCCGTCACGTTGAGCCCAGGGACCTCGCTCCGCGCCACACCGCACCCCGCCCCGTTGGGATTGAACTCCACGCTTCCAGCGTCCGCGTTGAACCCGTTGGGGTTGAAGTCTCCCTCCTGCCAGAGACCACTCGGGCCGTGTGCAGGATGCGCATCGATTGACTCCAGCCCCCAGTCGAGAACTCCACCGCCCCTTCCCCGTATCTTGGGGTGGCCGACGTCAAGCCAGGCAATGCTGTCGTCGCCACATGTGTTTCCCGATCAACTTTGTCCCTCCTCCCTTGCCAAGCCGATGCCCCAGTGAACCTGCGTCGCCACTTTCGTGGTTCGGGTCGACGAGGAGGTCGATCTCGATCTCCTGGTACCACCTACCATCCGAGCTCTGCAATGCTGCGTATAACTTCGCATTGTGCACGTTGCCTGGCAGCTGCGCCGTCGCCCCGCCATTCAGCAGGATTGATCCCCCGCCGCTCCTCCACGCATGTGATGCCGATGTCGGTGCTGGGGGCGGTGCCGACGTCGGCGCGGGCGCCGGTGCCGGCGTTGGCGAAGCCGATGGTGCGGGCGTTGGCGCCGGCGCGGGCGCTGGCGGTGGGATTGACACCGATGTCGGTGCTGGGGTCGGTGCAGACGTCCGCGCGGGCGTTGGCGAAGCCGATGGCGCGGGCGTTGGCGCTGACGCAGGCGCCGGTGTTGGCGCCGAGGTCGATGTCGAGGTCGGTGCTGGGGTCGGTGCCGACGCCGGGGCGGTCGCCCGTGCTGGCGTTGACGATGCCGATGGTGCGGGCGATGGCGCTGGCGAAGGCACCGGCGTTGGTGCTGGGGTCGATGCAGGCGTGGGCGCCGGCGCCAGCGCGGGGCATGGTGCCTCGTCGCGATATACTGCGCCACGAGACCCAGCGGATGGATTCAGCACTTGCCCGCCGCGCTCCAGGATGAAGAAGCGTCTCGTCTCGCAACTGCTGGAACATGTGCCGTCGTAGTGAGCGCCGTACTGTGCAAAGTACGCGCATGTGTTGTCTGCGTCGCACAGCGCCCTGCAGCCTTCAACGCCGGCTGCGCCTGCGCTGACTGCGCGATCAACTGTTTGCGGCGAGCCTGACCCAGGACTCCAATCTGGCAAGAATGATACTCAGCCGTATCGTCGTCACTTGGATATCTTTGAAGACCAAAGCCTTCGCCGCATGTATCGTGCGCCGATGTTGGCGTCGGTGTCGATCCCGGGGCGGCCGCCGGCGTTGGCGCGGGGGCTAGCGCCTCTGCGCGGTATGCTGCGCCATGAAACCCGGTGGATGGATTTAGCGCTTGCCCGCCGCGCGGGTGATTCAAGAAGCACCTTACCTCCCAATTACTGGAATGTGTGATGTCGCAATGGGCGCCGTACGTCGGAAAGTGCGCGCCGTGTATGTTGTCTGCGTCGCACAGCGCCCTTGTGCTCGTCGACGCCAGCTGCGCCAGCGCTGACTGCGTGCTCAACTGTTGGCGGCGAGCCTGGCCCAGGACTCCAATCTGGCAAGGATAATGCCCGGTCGTGTCGTCGTCGCTTGGATGTCCCTGGATATCCCTGAAGATCATAGCCTTCGCCGCAGGCATCGCGCGCCGATGTTGGTGCCGGGGCCGATGCCCGCGCGGGCGCTGGCGTTGGCCCGGGGGCTGGTGCCTTCTCGCAGTGTACTGCGCCATAACATTTGGGTGGGTGGATTCGGCGCTCGCCCGCCGCACTCCTGCGCTCGTCGACCCCGGCTGTGCCAGCACTGGCCGCGTGCTCAACTGTCGGCGGCGGGCCTGGCCCAAAACTCCAATCTGGTATCGATAATGCCCAGTCGTATCGCCGCCATCTGTATATCCTTGGAGTTCACATCCTTCGCCGCATGCGTCGCGCGGCGATGTTTGTGCCCAGGTCGATGCTGTCGCAGTTGCCGGCGTCGGCGCGTAGGTTGGCGCCTTTTCAGGATGGAATGCGCCCTGGGACCCGGCGGTTGGATGCAGAACTTGCCCGCCGCGCTCCTGGATCAATGAGCATCTCGCCTCCCAAATGCTGGGACATGCGTCGTCGCAGTAGGCGCCGTGCTTTGCAGAGCGCGCGCGTGCGTTGTCTGCGTCGCACAGCGCCCTGCGCTCGCCGACACCTGCCGTGCCAGCGCTGACTACATGATCAAGTGTTGGCGGCGAGCCTGTCCCAGGACTCCAATCTGGCAAGACGAATGCCCAGTCGCGTCGTCGTCATTTGAACATCCTTGAAGATCAGAGCCTTCGCCACATGTATCGTGCGCCGATGTTGGTGTCGGGGTCGATGCCGGCGTGGCCGCTGGCGTTGGCGCGGAGGTTGGGGCCTTTTTACGATATGCTGCGCCAGAAAAATTCCGGTGTATCGATTTAGCACTTCCCCATCGCGCTCCCAGATCAAGAAGCATCTCGTCCCCCAATTACTGGAGCATGTGCCGTCGAAGCTGGCGCTGTACTTTGCAAAGTGCGCGCGTGTGTTGTGTGCGTCGCGCAGCGCCCTGCGTTCGTCAGCACCAGCTGTGCCAGCGCTGACTACATGCTTAACTGTTCGAGGTGGGGCCTGGCCCAGGCTTCAATCCGGCAAGAATAGTACCCAGTCTGATCGTCGTCATTCAGATATCCTCGAAGATCACAGGCTTCGCTGCATGCATCGTGCGCCGATGGTAGTGCCGAGGTCGATGCCGTCGTGGGCGCTGGCGTTGGCGCGGTGGTTGGTGCCTTTTTTCACGATGTACTGCGCCATAAGACCCGGCGAATGGATCTAGCACTTGCCCACCTCGCGCCTGAATTAAACAACATCTCGTCTCCCAAGTGCTAGAACATGCGCCGTCGCAGTACGCGCCGTGCTTTGCAAAGTAAGTGCATGTGTTGTCTGCGCCGCACAACGCCGTGCACTCGTCAACGCCAGTTGTGCAATCACTGGCTGCGTGCTCAACGGTTGACGGTGGGCCTGACCCAGGACTCTAATCTGGCAATTATGAGTGCCCAGTCGCACCGTCGTCACTTGGATATCCTTGAAGATCATAGCGTTCGCCGCGTCCATTGTGCGCCGGTGTTGGTGCTGGGCTCGATTCCGGCGTGATGTTGGTCGGTGTCGTGCTGGTCAGAATGGCCGATGTCCGTGCTTGGGTCGGTGCCGGCGCCGCCTGGCAAAGCAGCGCTGGCGCAGCGCGGCCGAGGCCAGCGGCGGCATCGGCGCGCCCGCCCTGCCGTCGGGCTTAGGCCCAGAGTGGCGGGAATGGCCCGGGCGCGCAAACCCCTCGCGTTATGGTAAGCACGCTTGGGGAGGAGGAGGAGGAGGAGGAGGAGGAGGAGGAGGAGGAGGAGGAGGAGGAGGAGGAGGAGGAGGAGGAGGAGGAGGAGGAGGAGGAGGAGGAGGAGGAGGAGGGGGAGGGAGGAGGGAGGAGGAGGGAGGAGGAGGAGGAGGGAGGAGGGGGGGGGGGGGAGGAGGAGGCGGAGGAAGAGGAGGAGGAGCGAACGTACCCTGGCAGGGACGTCTGTTCGCGCTTAGCTACGCGGCTGCGCAGCCCCGCGCCCCGCGCCTCCACTCAGGTCGGAGGGCAGGCGGAGGGCGTGACAGGCGGCCTGCGTGGCGTCGTGGAACTGCTGGGGCTCGTGCTTGTAGTTGTCCTTCATGCGGTGGTTTACCTTCGTGGCAACCGCGATGCGCATCGCGGAGCTCTTGATGCCATTCTCGCCATCGTACCCGATGCTCGTGGGAGGGGGGCCGATCCTGGTCATGATGTCGGGGCTGAGGCTGCCGCGAGGGAACGCCGGGTGATGGAGAAGGCGTGGGCGCTGGAGGTAGTGGCTGATCGCGTCGGCCTTGTTGCAGCCGAGGATGCACTGGCGCGACTGGGGGGTGGCGCGCGTGCGGTCAGTAATCGTCCGGGCGCCCGCCAGCGCCTCGAGAACTGCCCAGACCCGCGCGGGCGGCAGGGTCGCCAGGTACTTGTGGAGACGAAGCCAGCGTCCTTGAAGGTCATCAGGGATGGTGGAGAGCTGGACCAGGTCAGGCGCGGTCTCGTTCTCCTCGGCGTCGGGGTCGTGATCCCAGTCGTCGCCTTGGGTGTCATGATCTTCCTCAGCAGGATAATGGGCTCGCTGGCTGTGTCCCCAGCGGCGGCGCGCATGGTGTTCAGCAGATGTGAAGCGGCGGGGTCTGGCGTCGAACGCGAGTGGGGTCGTTGCCCATGTCGCCGAGGATGGCGAGCTCCAGCCTGCTGTGAGCCAGGTGCGTGGTGTGCCATGCGTCGAGGCGCATCTCCTTGGCGACGTTGCGGCGCATGTGGCGCGTGCGGTAGAGAGGCTGGAACATGTCATAGCCGAGGACATAGTACACGTACTCCTCGCACCAGATGACCCAGTCGTCCTCGTTGGAGATGTCGCGGTTGTTCAGGGGGATGTCGGGCAGCCGCGACCCGGCCCAGTGAGCGGCGCGGTTCGCAAGGCGCGCCTTCGCAAGGGGAGCGCGCTGAACTTCGGGATCCTCTTGGCGGACAGGGGCGGGAGGTCGAATGAACCATGCGAAGATGCGTTTCCTGATGGTCGCGTGGAAAGTGTCTGGGTGAAATCGTTCTTGCAACGCCAGCA